AACACTGTGCTGCATTTCTATCAATAGTAGTAATCATTGAAAGAGCCGATTTGCAAACTATGGAAACATAGGAAAGTCATAGAACACCACCAAGGAGAAGAAATAGAAATAATGTTTCTTTTATTTATAATCGTTATTATGAACAGCCTAATGCAGCTATGAATAAGGCTATTTGTATAAAACACTATAAACAAGATCAGCTTTTGAAAAATGATAAGATATTTACAAGAAATTGTCATTATATCAATCTCTTATGTGCATCATTAGTATTTCCAAAATCTTTGAGTCGAATATTTTAAAGTCATCAGAAATTATGACTTTTATTCGTTTAAAAATAACGCCTGTAATACTTAGCATTTGCTCGAATTCGAGCAACATGGACACTAGTTATACTAAAAGTGATAACATGGTTATTTTCCACAACATTCATTAGTGCTACAGTTTTACTACTTTTATTAAGGAATACTGTATGTTTCAACTTTCAAATGAGAAATTAAAAGCGTGATTAAACACCAATAATTTTTAAGTTAAAATTTTTCCTAAGTATTTTTACGAGGAAATTAGTGTAGCTAAATTTGGAATTCAACCATACGCAAGCAAAATCAGCATTAACCTGTCCCTTAAGATATATCTTAATTGAAAAATAAGTTTAGGGCTCGCGTTATTTGTATTTAAACCATTTAGAACAATTTATTTTCTGACTATCTGTAGCAATCAATTGGATTGTTTCATAAAAATAATGTTTTATGTAAAAGTAGTCAATTTGTTTGAGTGCATTTCAAAATGGCTTTTGATAACAGGGTCAAAGCACGTTTATAGTTAACTATTATTATTATTATTTTGGACTGGAGGGTTTAAAGTTAAATACCATTCACGTTAAATAGAAACAATGTCACGTTTCAGTTTAAGATCGTAAAATGTGTACGATAAATTCAATAATATAGTTTAAATTTTTTAATACGCTTGCTCTAAGTAAATATTATTATTATTACTATATATTATTACTATTATTATTACAATATTTTACCCCGCTTGGAAGGTAAATCAACCGTAATTCTTTTGGTGCGGATCTAATAAAACCGATCTTATTTTTGCTACTAAAAAAGAGCTACTTATGTCAAAAAAATATATGAGGTATTGTATTAGTCTTCTAGAGAGAGGTACAAACCCAAAAATTTGCTTGTTCCATCACAATATATTCGAAGTAATTTTATGCAAAAGAGCGAAATATGAGGCTCACGCTCATCTATTTCTAACCTAACTTATTTTTACCAAACAAAAAGTCTTTAAAACATACATTGTTATACTGGTGTAAAATACCATTTTAACTGCTATCCGCAATCGCAAGTTTGGAAAATCTCGATAGTTGCAAGAATAAAGTTCTTGACGCTCATATTTACTATAGCGACTATTAGTATTGCTTTACTAAGAACTTCTTGGGTGGTTTTAAGAATAATTTTAGAAGATTACTTATTGTTGAATAAGGCTTTTGGTCAATATCAAAACCACGTCATCACTATCCAGTGTGAAATTACACCAATATCGTAAACCACACGCCCCATGAGCCTTCACGGCCCATGCGACGTGCACAAAAGGTATAATTTTTACTTACTTAAATCGAATTATTATTTGTATTACAGTTTTGTCTTTGTTTATATTTTGAGTAGTATGTCAAGCTTATGATGTAGTATTTAAATAAACATATTCACCGCACCGGGTTTGACATAAAACTACAGCTACAGTAAAGTCCCTGAGAAGTAGTGTCTCGCATATTATTATTGGTGAAGCGCCCGCTTAACATATTACTTAGGTGAGTATGAGAAAATGTAAGCTGAATGAATCGTTGTTGTGTCTGATATGAATTATTTATTAATATTACTAAATATCAGTCGAACTATTAGTACCGTAAAAGGAAATAGGTATACTCACGAAAAATATTTCGCAAGTTCTTTCATTCGTCTAAATAGGTTACTAATAAGATAAATCACGTTTTAAGAGGTTTACCTAGCAGGTTTTATTCTTTGCTTTCACTTAAATTCAAAATATACTGCTTCCTTCACAAAATTTACATTTTTAGAAAATTATTCACCTTTTGAAATAAAATTACAATAATTGCTTGGCTACATTTCAATTGATATTTGATGATCGTAAAGATGAAATTTTAAAATACTACACAGTTCATGGTAGTATTGGATAATATAAGAGCAACTAGGTTTAGCTCAACCATTTATAATGAATTCTACCTTAAAATACTAAAATTTGGAACATAAACTGAACTAAGTACTGTAAGGGGAACTAATGCTAGAAAATTTTAAGCTATTAATTAAAAATTGAGGTTTAAAGATATATGCAGTGTACATATAGTGTGGGTTTCATAGTCACTTACCATAGGTAATAAAATATGATCTAATAATAAGTAAAATCATTTATTTTATAATATTTATAGTTATTGTTATAAAGTACCAGCGCCAAGTTATATTAAACTAAAAGTAAAAACAAATTAAAACACACTAAAATCAATGCATGTAAGCGCATGTTTGTAAATTAAATGTTAATAAAGTAGAATCCGATCTAAAGAAATACTGACATTAATTCGGTTTTTACGAATATAAACACTAACTAATATTATTTTAATTTTAAATATCTATAGAAAGGAATCTGAAAATTAAAATATCTATATTTGTTTATAACTAGGTGTATTATAAATGATAAATTGCGACTAGAAGGTAAATGTACAATATCAGTACATAATACGTAATATAGAACAATATCTCTTATTGAGTAAGAGACATACGCGTATTCATAGCGATCTGCAATTAATTTAAATATTATTTATGTTTTCAATCAATTTAAATCAAGTAAACTTTAGTAATACTACTAGTGGAGATGCGGCGGTATAAGATCTTAGAACTCTCAAAATCCAGGGTGTATATTATACACTAATCCAACACAGATTTGGATTTTTTACTCCTAATGTTGAAGTCAAATTAAATTCAGTGTAAATAAAATTCAATAAATGAATGAAGTTTTGGTATTATCGAAAGGTTGAAATAAAAAGTTGTATAGTATTTTTAAAGAGTAATCTTAAATATTTGGATTGAGAAACAATTTCACAAAACGTTATAAATGTAATAACTTCTATTAAAGAGCCGAATCCCACACATTAATAAAAATGTATATGTTTTAAACATCCAGGAGATACACTTTCTAAAATCCATATTCTAGTATTTAAATCTTATGGAATAAGAGACAATTAATATTAAATGCAACGCTATAGCGGCCGCATATTCCCGTAGTAAATACTTCGATAGTAAATAAGTATTAATATAAATGAAAGATATTATCATTTATTAAACATTAATTTAACCTTCAAATTGAAGTTTTAAAAAAAATATAGAAATATATATTTTTGTTAAACAAATCACCTACTTTTTACGCTTAAAACACCTCAAAAGACGTGAAGGTATTTGAAATTCGATTTCCTAAATCTTTTGGAACAAATCTGGAGAGTTTAGCCTGATGTATTTTGTACTTGTACTATTAATTTCAACTTAATACAACACATGTTTATATCAGAACGCAACTGAAGATCGTCAAATAATATAAAAATTAAAAGTATAAAATTAAGTATGTAACAACTATTATTATTCTATAAGAATAGTAATGCCATAAAAAGTCAGGGTTATAATGCCAGAGTATTCACAAAGCCTTGTGTTAGCAATTCGATTAATCGATTTATAGTCAACTTTATATTCACATTTGATGCAATATCAATTTTACGCTTGCCATATTTTATCAAAATAAAAGCGTCATATAACAGTATGTAGTATTTAATTTGGTGAGGGTTTTAACTGAAGAAAATGCCTGTAACGTAACTGAAAAATTTTTTTACTGACTAAATCCATGTATAACGTGTGGAAAATTTTATATAAATTAATCTTTTTTTTAAAGGATATTCACTGAGAAAATTGTAAAATCAGTTCCGTACAAAGTACTCAGAGTCTGATTTCAATTGTTCTTCTAGCAACACTTAAACCGGTAGCATATCAAGGTATTGTGTATATATATCTTGCTGACGCCTATTGGGAACTTGAAATACAGTTACACATTACATATTTATATGTATGAAAAAGAACTTTTTAGTAATAGTCAACACATGCTTACTTTTATATAAAAATTTGAAATTACTGAATAAACCGAAAAATTCAATCAACAGGAATACATTTTTTTGTAACGTAGTTCATAGTATATTTTTTTTATACCCGTACTATAAAGTTAAATTTAAAATCTTAATGAAAAGATCAATATGCACGCTAAATAAAATTGAATGCATGCCTTTATTGAATATTATTTTTTTACAAATGTGAGTATGTATGCTTTGAAAATATATTTGAGCCAGTTGAAAAAAAATGATACATATCTTATGTTCTGACAAACATTTAAACAAAATTGGATCATTCAATAGGCAGACAACTTTTACGAGAATATACTCAAAATCAAATATAAAACACACCATAAGTTAAATTATAAATTATTTAAAGCGTGAATTTACAAACTTTCATAAACATATTTTGTTGGTTGCATTACAAATTATTGCACTAACAAAACCCGAAATCCAAAAAAACTTGATTATTCAATACAGTAGTTACGAATAAATAAATAATAAAATAAATAATAATAATAGAATAAATACGTAGTAAAATAAATTAAATTTTGAATGTTTTAAAAATTTGCATTTTTGGACTTTCGAAAAAATAGTTTTCAAAATTGAAACTAAACAACACCTAATACCCTAACAAATGAAATGAACGAAAATTAGATCACTCAATGGACAGAAGAGTTAAGCTATCATCGGCAACGCGTCCAACTCCCGGACGATGACAGAAAGGCGCAGATAGAAGTGGTGCTGAGAGTAGGCTTCGGACGCGCGCAAACAGACCCTAAACAGTGGTGAAGGATAAGTGTAATATTTGGTGAGAAAATGTAATGTCAATTTGCACCTTGTAGGCAGCAGTCAGCTGTAGGGTAGGGTGTCGGGTCCGACCAGAAGCCCAGACGATCGACGTTTTTCGCACCACCGTTCACTTGTCACTGCTATCGTTCTCTCTTCTCTCGACTAAACTAACTTTTGACTTTTTTGTTTCCGGATGAGTTTGAGTGGTGAGAGAGCCCAATGGCGGTAGGGCTCCGCCCCCGGGCCCCGGTTGGTCGGAAACCACATCTCCCGCCCCGGCTCAGAATAACTTGCCGTTCTTCTTCAATCTCAGTTCTGTTTTGGCTCTCGCGAAGAGTTTTTAAACCCACGGTAGTTCGTTTTATTTACGATAAAACTGGTTTATAGTTTTCGGTATTCAAATTTTGACGCTTCGCTCAGATCTTTGTAATTTGTTTATACAATTTTACTCTTTATTGTTTTCAATATTAGTATGTTTTTTTTTCGGAATTCTATGTTTTTTATAGTTTTCAATGTATTCTCATGATTTATTTTGACAAAGATCTATAACTCTCTCTCACTTTTGATTTAACTACTTCAGTAAATGTTTTCTTATTGTTTATCCATCTTTTCGGATAATCTTTGGTCTTTTGAATTATTTGATGTCTTAAAGAAAACACATACTTTTTACATTGACAAACATGGCTCACTGTTTTGTTGATTTCGTAAACGTATGAGAATATCAGTTTCATGTCTGGGTGTTGCATTATGCAAAACCTTACGATGGTTTAAATTGGGACTATATTTTGTTCTAATATCTTCTTTTCATATTAGATATTCTTTTCAATATCTTAATTTTCATTTTTTCACTTTTGTGCATCTATTATAATCATCCTTCGTCTTATGGTAATTTAAACTACGATTCAATTATTGGATATAAACATATGGAACAACAAAAGTGCTTCTTTTTACGTACTAGTGTAGATAGTTAACTGATAATGTATCCAAACTTAAATTTATTTTCCCTCAATTCTGTTGATTTATTTTGTATTACTTGCGATTTTAATACATGCCTTTAACACAGCGCATATTTATTTATTTTATTTGCATTTCAGTATTTGATTTTTACAAGTTATGTGTGTAGTTAAATAAATTGATGTACCGTATGCATTTTTTATAGTTGAGGCTTATCTATTTTTGAAAACTTACTTTTGACTATTCATTTACTTTAGCTCTTTATTCGTCATATTGAGTCGTTGTCCACGACTTCAGACATTATTGTGTTTTTGATGGGCTTGAGCTTGTTCAAACGCGCTAGCAAAGAAAACTAGTTTTAAGTGGAATTATTTGTTATAATTAAGTTTCTAGAAGTTTAGTTATTGGTAATGTTTTGGTCTGATTTCACATCTATTGATTTTAATTAACTATCACACACTTACAAAGGTAAGTAAATTCATATACATTTACAATAAATGATTCCAACTTATTTAAAATATTGGGCTTATATGAAAAGCAACAACTGAACAATTTAATCTGTCACAATGCATATAAATAGTGGACTCGAGTTATATGACTATTGTAATATACAATACAGTATTCTATATCATATATAACACATGGAAATATAATTATGTATACAAAACTTTAAAGTAGGCTATTAAAACTAAGCTCTCTTGACCAAAATGAAATCTTTTCTGTCATCTTTGATATTTTAGTTAACTGTATCATAGTTATCACGTTTTTTGAAATGTAAAAACGTTGATTTTTGATATTAGGGTAGACGTATAGCATTAGGCCAGATTGTCTTCTCTAGTACATATACATAAAGCGCTAGAAAGGCTTAAGGCTTATAGAAAACTTTTATCAGTTAAGCTTCGTTTACAGCTAAGAACATGTTAGGCAATAAACATATAAATATTAATCAATTCAGACTTATTATGTTAATAAAACCTTAACTCATACAAATAATTATACTAATATCCAATAGCCCTAATATTTTACATTGTATACAATTGACTAAGAATTTATAATTGGTCTTTATATACTTCTCTAAAAAAAAAAAAAAAATACCTAACATACATTTAAAATCGCTTTTGTTAACATTCATACCATCTTGACATTTCTAATTTGCCCAACCATACAAGGGAAATCCTAAGCCTTTTTCAAAGCCTAATAAATATTAACTTGATAAATGATAAATAATGATAAATGATAAAAACAATGATAAATGTATGAGAAAAAACATCGTGATAATGAACGGAAAATTGTATAACAAAAATTAAATAAAGTGTCAATATTTTTAAAATCCCGTTTTACACGCAGAGAACTATTTAAAATTATTTATAATAAAAGGCAACATTTGTGGTCTAATCATTGAGCTTTATCTTTAAGTCTAAGTTTGTGTAGAAGTAGTGCAATAATTATTGTATAAAATGTGGGGAACGATAAGGAACTAAATCAAAATGGTAATTTATAGTTGTTGACTGAAAACAACTGTTTAGTTTATCATAATTATTTATGTTATAGCTATAGCCATTGAATATGTGATTAGTTTACTAACCATATTACCTTATATTAAATCCATATAATATACTATTTGATTTAGTTAGTTTGTTGATTTGAATTAGTTAATCTTCTAAAGCATATCGAACCGATGTGTTTATTCTATTTCCGAGAGTTGTTGTCTTTACTTATAAAATACTTATATACTTATACAATATATTACTTATATAATACTTATATAAAAAACTTATAGGTAAAACGATTGGCTAATAATTTATTCATATGTCTATTCTCGTACTGTAACTATTGCCGTGGCCTGGGGCAGACATTGTCCAGGAGCTGAGGGGCATGAGCATGCATGAAAGTAGTACGCAATGTTATTGCTGATTATTGTAATTTGGACTGTGGTGATCAAAATTACGTATGTCGCCTATTTCAAAATTGGTCGATAAGGTGGGAGGGGGGGGGGAAGGGGCAAACATGGCGGAGGGCGCTGTGCGTTAAAACGCTGATATTTCAAAACCGGTAAAAGATAGAACATCGGTTAAAACGTCGTTTCAATCCTAAAAGTATGGACTACAATAATGCTTATTATTTCCGAGGTCGTATCTCTAATAGTAAACAAGTTATTGTATAAAATATGTAAAAATTGACTATTCGTGTAGTATTTTTTCCCGAAAGTATAATTAATTTGTGAGTGTCGTCAAGAAGTAATATCAAATATCTTTGCCGATAGTTGTAATACGGACTGTAGTGATACAAAATACACATGTCGACTACTTTTCAGGTGGTCGAGAACTTGGGGGGAGGGGGCAAAGATGGCGGAACGTGCTATTCATTGAAACGAATCTATCTTGAGAACGGTACGAGATGGGACATCGGTCATCAAAACGACGTTTTAATAAAAAAAATATGGCCATTAGAAAAGATTATTAGGTACAAAGTTGTATCTTAAGTAATAAAGAATACAAAAATATGTTTCACAAAATCTACATAATTAAATACATTATTAAATACCAAGCGTAGTAGCATTGACTTTATTAAGCGTGTGACCAACGATGTAAAGAACTGCTGTAAAACAACTGGGTTGTTTATATCATTGCGTGTGACAGGGACAGTATATGCCTACTCAGTTATAACTGTATTAGTACAGTTTTCTAACCAAATCCAAAGTTAAGTCAAAAATGCATTAAACTACAGTACGTACGTCTAGTCTAATAATTTGGCCACCCTCTGTATGTACTGTAGGTCAAATTTCTCTAGTTAAGTAACAAGAATTTTACAATACAATTTATACACACATATGAGCGAAGTGCTTTACAAACATTGTTAATGATTTAATTACTAGTACAAGTAATTAATTTGATAGCTGCAACCTGTCCCACCCATTTCCCCCCAAATAATTCAATCTGTAGCTTACATTCTTCAGACGGCTGTGTGATTGGTCTGACAAATCTTACATTAGTACATTTTAAAAGTGATTGTTATTGACTTACCTCATAATTTTAATCTATATCGGTTTTATCAATTTGTATTACGTTTATGAGTGCTATACAAAAATCGGCTACACTCATTTACCCTAATTAGATTAATTATGAAGTGTACCTCCAATCTTGTTTTTGTATTTATAGCTTTTCACTAATTAAATGTTGTATAACAAATTGTACACCAGTACTCAGAATTCTTAATATGTATGAAAAGAATTGTTCTTCAGATTTTTAACTATTGAAAATCGGATTATTATGGTTTAGATACACAGTGTTTTACGTATCCAAACAGTTACCAACATTTTAAGTTATATAAGAAATTAAAACAAACTTTTTTGCATCACGAAAAGTAAATATCAATGATTTAACACAAATACAAGGTTTTAACGATGTTACTCGATTTGGAAACTTAACAAGTGTAGGTCGTGTAAGCTATTATTATCTACAATAAATTATCTATGACCAGTTATTTTAGATTAGATTATTTATAGACAAACTGGACAAGACCAGAGCTAATAAAACTATTTCAATTTCAGTCAGTAAGTAGGTCCATGTCCAAAAGGTTAAATTTACCCGAAAAATACTAATTCCGAAAAATACCGTTGTATAGTACATAAATCAAAATTCTTGTTGCAGTTAACGAAGTCCAGTCATAAACCCAAACGCAATATTATAACCCATATTGCAGTAATTTCTGATGCAGTAGCTCAATTATGGTATTCACATTACAGTTGATGTTTTTGTTCTGTCAATAAAATAACGTCATAACCATTACACACAATACAACTGCAAACAACATTAAATAACCATGTAAATCAATCAATCAAATCAAATCATTTATTGTCATGGACATTTACAAGTATTGACATTGTGGTAAAACAGAACATAAAATTTACATGTTAATTGTCTAACCATACAAAAGTTAGGTTTGGGTGGATAAGCAAGTGTGTTAAAAATATGATAATACTTAAAGCTACAAAGTTAATAATCACAATAGAAGACATAAACACGAAAGAAATCACGAAATAACAAAATTGAACAAAACAAGAATAGACTATAAAAGTGATTGATAACAATTTAAATGTAAAGTTACAGACTTATCACAAGTTGCTCCAGGAACTTTCAACACTGTAAGGATTTCTTTTAGAGCCAGCCACTTTTTCTTACATATAAAGGGTGTCCCACGTAATGTGTCTCAAATTGATTAAAAAATTATTTCCCGCTAAGTCGACTCCAAGGAATAACGTAAAAATATTTTAAACTGTTTTCCAATACAGGTTGTGCCAAAAACAAAAGGT